CACAGTCAGCTGCCTGCAGACAGAATGCCTTCCCAGTAAGACCTCGTCCAAACATGTATGGTTGCACAGAAATTTTGCAATTCTTTGTATGAATGTGTATTTGACAGTAAGAATTACTGAAAAGATTCTCCTTTTGCCCAGAACTTACTGCTTTCAAATCAGGTAGGGAATACTGGTGATAATTTAAAATTAAGTAAAAAGCATATGATTCTTAGCCCTTAGAAACTCTCTTCTGCAGAGGCACAGGAGGGCTACTCATCTGCACAGTTGTAAGCCTTCAGGGCTGTTTGCACCAGCAGCCTCAACACAGCTCCACCAGCCCTTGCAGTAGGAGGGTGCCTTGGCCTCAGTCTCAGATTCTGCAGCCCCAGGGAGCAGTTGCCCGCCCTTGGATCTCCTCCATGAAGTCACACCTCCCGCTCCTGGCACTGCTATCTGCTCTTTGACATGAGCTCAACAACCTTGTGCAAAACTGTCCTTTCCCATGCTGGAGGGAACATGAACTCCCTGATGTTTCACTTTAGATTGACACAGCCCACAGTGAACATTACCCCAGGATACTGTGTACTACTTTAGTGTAGTTCATTGCAATACTATGAGTAATGGTAGGATTACACTGAAATGTGAACTATGAAACTTGGAGACTGGATCAGTCCATTTACATTAAGGTATTTCTGAACACCTTACATGCTGAATAGCCTGGACAAAGTGAATTAATATGAAGAGAGCAAACCACACCACTCTTTCTTTGTAAACTGACTCACTCTGTCTACAGCCTACACAAAGAGGTAGGTAGGGAGCCTCAGGTAGGGACAGATGCTGTAGAGGATGAAGGAAGATTGTCCAGTGAGTAGAGCACTGCTGCAAAAGGACTGGACAGTACAGATTGGAGCCCCAGTCTGAAGGAATCAAAGAAGGATCCTGGGCCTTTCACTCCTCGTGTATAAATGGAGATGATTTTATCAGTTATCTAACAAAATGATTTCTGACTATAATTGAAATAGGGAGATATGTGTCTAAGATAGATGAATGGACAGATGGTTTACAGTCTCATCCTGCCCACCTGCTGCAGAACACAGCTAAGCCTACTACAACTGTGCTAAATTATTTGTGAAGCATAGAAACTGCTGGTCCAATAAGCCCCTGATGAAAAATGCAATGATAGCAGTAATGAAGGCAGCTCACACATTTGCACAACAGTTCAAATTTTCAGGTAGCTAACAATTACGTCAAAAAGATGTAGCTATGTTTATTTTTTTGGGCAGAAGAAAACTTGAAATCCTGACATGATCTATGCTATGGGTCTCTTCCAAACCACTTGCTGTTTTGGTAAGAAAAGTACAGACATCAAGCCTGTACATTGTGACATGGAGTACACCTGCTCCATCATCTGGACGTTGAAGTGACCTGCTGCAGTTAGTTTAGAAAGGGAAACATTGACTAGTGCTTAGTTTGTTTCCAGAACAGGACACTTTTCATCCTATATGACATCCTAAAGTAGCTATACCCAGATTCTGCAATGATCTATTTGACAGTAGGGAGTCCCATGAAGTCTACAATCGTTCTTACTGACTTACATGCCATAAATTTTACTAGAATGATAGAAGACTTCCATTGCTTTTGTGATCAATGAAGCATCTCCTTATTAACCAGGGATACCAGAGACTTTCAGTCCTGTCCTTTGCAAAGTTAGTGCGAAATATTGTTGCTTCATACATACTTTTTTGTAAGGCCTTACTATTGCTTCCAGTGCACCAGTGATGAGTTAAATATTGGTAATAACATTGTTGACTTTTGTTAGATGATTTATTGGTTCCTGGAACCAGGAATGTCATTTCTGGCCATTCTTCTGTTATTATTCTCTCCCCTCAAAGTTTCAGAAGAATGTTGCTACAGCCTTAAATTTATCACTAAAAGCTGATGCATGTTGATGCCATGCAAAGAGGCTGGTTTTATTTAGGCATTCAGAAATTGATATGTAATTAAATTTTGAAATGAAATGCTAAGACCAGTGGGTGACAGACTGTCTGTAGGCGCGTCCCCTGAGGTGCTCCCTATTTCATTTGTTAATGATCTTTCTTCATTGCCCACTCTAAGCCAAGCTCTACCCACAACTGCTATTGCACCATTATTCAGCATTTAATTTATCACAATCTTAAAAAAAATAAAAATAATAAAAAATTCACACTATACTTACTTATTTGCTCATTTAAGCCCTAAATGGTTGGGTGTCTGCTTCTGTGTATAGACACTTATCTCTTTCTGTTTTAGATGCTGAAGTATTGTTTTGCAGTCACAAGACTCTGGCATTGACAAAAGTGAGGTGATTCGGAGTAAATTAATGAACTCAAATAGTTACAATAAAAATTTGCAGGTGACCAAAGACTGAGGTCTGATTTTAATGACTCTATATAGAAAAGCATAGATGTGTAAAGAAGTGAATTAGGAGCAGATGTGCAGCCTAAACACCAAATTAGAAACTTTTACTTTTTGGAATTTTTCATTGTTTTCTTTCTTTTTTTCCTGTTCCTCTTCCCTATTAAATCAATGCCAAGAGACTACTTCTGTCTAACCTGAAATTATTAGAAATGTTCATCATCTTTAGCTCTTTGCATTTATCACTAAATAGATATTTTTTATTGCTTTGTTTGTTTGTTTGTCTGGAGTTATTTTGGTTGGGGTTTTTTGTTTTGTTTTTTCTTGTTTTTTTGTAGACACTACTATATCTCTCATATAAGGAAAGGCACTGGAGAAATGCATTAACATGTATATGCAGTAGTCTTTTCAGCCTGTGCCACTGGATGGCTCAATGTGTCACAAAAGAAATCTCTGTTAGCAGTATAAGTTAAATTCAGTTATTCAGTTTGTGAAGAAACTATTTCTCAAGGAGGATCTGAACATATTTTGCTAAAGATACGAAGATCGGAGCATCCATGATGGTCATGTTATTAAGAACTGTGAAGTTTCCTCTGACTACAATTCTGTAATACCACTTTCAAAGCCTCCTGTAAAAGATGGATACAAATTAGTCTCCATGGAGAGCAGAAGTGGCTTTGGGCCGCTGAGTTTGCTCTTTGGTACTAAAGAATCAGGAACAGTATGTAAACACTAATTTGGTCATAACTTGATAGCTCAAAATTTGCCTGCTCGTGGACTTGTTAAAAAACATGTTGTTGTGGCTGCTCCTTATCCCTGCCTCAAACAGATTGGGACCAAATTAGGTGTATGCTGGAGCACATGCCTCTGCATGAAATTAAACCAGAAATTAGATAGATGCTTCAGAATAGTTCCCTGCTTAGATAAACTCCAACCCTTTGCTATTCCAAAACTGATAGGGCTGTTTTTTGTTGCTTGTACCCTGTTTTCTGTAGGAGCTGTACTAAAACAACCAAAGTATTTGCAGTTGCTTACATAAGTTGGCAACCTACCAGTCTTGATACAGGTCAATAGTTCAAATCCACCCTATGATTAAAAAGTAAAGCTATCCATGCTTCAGATCCCTGAGCTGTCCAGTCCTATGTGTTTTGGTTAGTAATGATGGCAGTAAAAACAAACCAAACTTCACCCTTTCTTGTCCTCTCCCATGGATCTTGAAAAACATGATGCAGCTTGTTAATAATGCAACCCTTTATTTAAGATGTAGTTCTGTGTACCAGCCTGAAATTTGAACTACTCATTGAATGACAATATATCAATTTGTCTGCATTATAAATATACTTTTGGAGTTGCTCTGTTTTATGTGATAACTGTGTTGGGTTCTGAGTGATAAAGGTTATGAAACAGATACAACAGTCTATATTCTGCCACAGAGGTGGTATAGTTCAGCATGACTGAGTCACTGCTCTGAAGAGAGACAGTACTGAAATTTTATGCAAGTCAAGCCTGAAGTGCACTGGCAGAGCTGCATGGTAGTAGGCAAAAAGCTGCTCCTCAATACGTACCTAATTTTACTTGTACAATTCTCATTTTTCCAGATACTCCTCTTTATCATACAAACATTCTAAACTACATATTGGCTGCAAGTGACCCAGGATCATTTCATGCAGTGAAAAGGGAACAAGTAAAATTCTTAACCATTGTAAATGGTCAGCTTGGTATGTGCCAAGTGTAGCATGCTAAACAAACTTGGCTAGGAACTTGAAGTTGGCAAGTACCTTCTACCTGCTGCCTTGTCTGCTCCAGTTTCCCTCTTTCCTCAGCTGGAAAATGCTGACTAACAGAGTAATGGAGATCTTTGCAACAGATATGTCTTCTTTTTCCTCCTTCTCCTGCCCCTGCTTGTTGTTTTCTTTTCTAATCAGTGCTGATTTGAAAAGCTTTTCCAGTTGGCCAGGTCTTCTCTCCAGTAATTCCAGTTTGGTTCCCCTTGCCCTTTTCTGTCTGGACTCTCTGCCCTCTTTCTGCTTTACCTATTTCCCAACAACTTTTGTGGCCAGAACACCAGGTGCAATTCTTTTCTCCTTGCCACCAGACCAAACCCCTCAGCTGCCCACTCCAACCTGCTGTCATCTCTGTCACTCATCTGTTAAATCTCCAGGCTTCTTTTATTCCTGGGCAAATGTCCCTTCTGGTTCTTTCTTGGAACTGAAAGAATTCTTTCTTTCTTCTATGGGTTTTCTGAATGTTTCTGTGTGTATATTTCTCATGATGGTTTTGATTTTTTTGATGTTATTTCCTTTATTAATACACAGCAGGAAGAAGGCCTATTATAATGTCCTGATTATTTTGTTTATTAGTATTCTGAAAGATTTTACAGTTTATTATCGATGTGAGATATAAATTCACAATGAATCAAAGGTGAATAAAACACTATTAGACCACACCTTTAATGATTCATATTCAATCCAGGCTTATGTTGCCGTGGCAAAAATGAGCACATAAGGGCAGACAGGTTCACTTGTATTATGCTATGTTGTTAATTTGAAAAAAAAACCCTTAATCTAAAAATGCTGTTTCATAAGGAACTTTTTAGGTGCTTTTTAATAATCTGCATCCCTTACCTTATGCTTGCCTTTCCATTGGGGGGAAAAATAAACAAACAGGCTTGAGGCTGTGAGTTAAATATGTCCTTCCATGAAGAAAATGTCCTTTCTGTCTTTTATGCTTTCCATCTTTTGAGGATTTGGCAACTAAAGATTATTATACATAATAAATTAGAAACTTAATAAGTAATAAAACTTCAAATTCTTCTACCCACTCTATTATACACCTGTGTGTACATACCTCTTCCTTCCATCCACATTTATGATTCTAGGATGACACAATAGATTTAATATTTCCAATGTATGGTCTGGAATTCCAGAGATGTGACAAACAACACTTTCAGGAAAAGGTTTTCTTATCTGACCAATTGTGCACAAAAGTGACAAACTTCCATGCACATGATTTCCCCTTTGGATTCTTTTTATAAGAGAAAGTTTTTTTGAATCTCATTCTGAGCATTCCTAAACACTACCTTTTCTTCTTTCATAAGACACATAAATTGTTCAGTAAACAATTACATTTTGAGCTCAATTTAAACCACAGCACAAAGATATCAGTGTTGAAGTGGCAGAAAGTATATTTTTAGCTGGTTTTATAAAACCTGCCTTTTTTTTTTTTTTAATTTATGGAGCAGTTATGCTTGTTTTTTGATGCCTGGGGAGTGTCTGCTGGTTCTCTGTGCCAGGTACCATACCATGGGGTCTTGATTAAGAGTTAGAAGCGATGTAGCATCTATGTTGAATAGGCACTCCATGATAGCTGACTACAGAGAAGGAACTTTTCACCCCCAAACAAATGCTTGAATAACAGTCTATACAAGCAGTAGAGAGAGACAGAATGTGCACTTTGGGCTAGTGCAGCTCTATTTGCATGTAAGGTCAAGCAAATAGGATGGATGATTTCATGCCTGAGCCAGGCAGAACTGTCCCTCTGCTCGGAAGGCTGTCTCATTGTCATGGTTTGAGATAGCCCCAAAAATCCAATTCCCTAGTCTAAGCCCCCTCCCACATCTCAACCTAATGTGAGATGGGTTTTTCCAGACAAAACACACCAGACTCCAAATGGGGGAAAGGGAATATATTACAATGACTGTACAAATAAATATTATAACACATTATACACACAATCACAATATCTCTACCATGACATATAGTATTTACAATAGATCAGATCTCTTCTCCCCTCCAAATAAAAGTCCAGGAGGGAAAGAAGGACAGATCCCTTCCAGTCTCTGAACAGCAGGAGTATCTTCCAAGGCAGCAGGTTTCTTCTTCTCATGCATGCAGCAGCTGTGGCTGGCTTTCTGCCAGCACTCACGAGGAAGGTATCCAAGCTCCCTTGGCCCCCTTGACGCAGACAAAGGGGTCTTCCATGGGCTTCATAACCCCAGACAAGGTCGTTTCACCACGGTCATATCACGAAGACACAGGGGGTCTTCGTGACGGTCTGGTATCTCCAGGAGACTCAAGCTCCTGCAGGGCCTCTGTGCCCTGTTCTCAGGCTGCCACCGTGGCAGCAGTGCGAGGGGGGAGCCAAGGTCAACTCCCCCTCCCATTCCATCTGGCCATCCCGGTCCAGCTCCGGGATGTCTTTGAGCTTCTTAGCTCCTCTCTCTCTCCAGTACTGCTGTACTCCAAGGCTCCTCTCAAATAGGAGTCCATTTACTCCTCCTCTCTCTAGGAGGGGTTTCCAAGGGAGTTTTGGGGTTTGGTATCAGTCTTACCCCAAACTCTGTAGCTCTGCTGCTGGCTCTCTCTCTCTCTCTTTCCAGGAGTCCTTTCTGCGATGCTGCATGTCTCTGTTGCTTCTCCGGTTCAGGTCTTATCTGTCCTGGCTCTGTGCCACTGTTTCTCTGGTCAGTGCCGGCTGCTGCTCTGCACCCATGGAGAAAACATCTCCCGGCATAACTACAGACACTTAGCCTAGTCTAAGACTGTTCCAGGTCTCTGCAATCTTCCCCCAGCCAGGGGCTGGGAGGCCCCAGAGGCCCCGAGGGGCTCAGAGCCCCTTCCTTGTGGCTCTACAACATGGCCACCACTTCTAACAACCACAAAAAAACTACAACTCATCTCTTCTGGTGCTTGTGATATGTTTACATTTTTTGCAGGAGCGCAGATTGGACAAATCTCAAGTGTTACCACCCTTGGGGGTTACCACTTCTCAGCCTCTGGGGGAAAAACCAAGGTCTAAACCACCACACTCATGCACAAACAATACGGAGCCAAGTAAAGTACAAACACTTATCAAACATTTTCAACTTTAAAGAAATAACTTAATAAAAAGGGTAAAACACCTGATCAGACAATCTAAGCCTTTTAAAAGTTGTTGTACCCTCTCGAGTTTTCTGAACTAGAAATGCAGGCAAAGCAGGGTCTATTTTGGGGCCCTGCAGATAAATTATGTATTAAAATCATGCTCTTATTTTAAGGATCATTCTCAAAAGATTCTTTGAAAATGAAGGGAAAGCAAAGTTTACTTTGGTCAAGGAGACGGGACACAATTCTAAGAAATATTCAAGAATAAGTTATATAAAATTCATGAAACTGGAAGAAGTACTCTTTTACCCATCAGTTTTGGCCCAGTTCAGTTACTTTCATCAGAGAGATGGAATGCTTTATACTTATAGCCTTTCTAGCAGTCAATATAGTATTGACTGTATTGCAGCCAATGTAGCCAGTGTGGTGATGAGATACTCTAGTTTTCACAAGCTTTCATTAGGTTTGCTGTGAAATGCCATGTTCTCATATTAGTCATCCTCTCTGCTTTATATCTTAGAAGATGCATTTCAAACTGTTTTTAAAGCACATTATTATTCAGTTGTTCACCAAAATAGACCAATATACATTATAATATGTTTACGAGGTGGCAGCCCTACAATTCAACAATTGAAAACTTACATTCCATCTGACATAGCTACAAAATTGTTTCAAATGGCTGTGCTTACTTTTTGGAGCAAATAGTTGATGTCTGCAATTTGATTATTAGCAAGTAAAAGAACATCGATAGAAATATTGCAGTCAGTATGTTGATATTCCAGGGAGAATGAAAAATGTTTAGTGGACAGTTTAGAATACTGTCAGTATATGGTGTCATAAAAACTGCTGAACTTGCTTCTTTATTTATATCATTGAGGTAGGTTTAATACCATTTAAATATCTTCAAAGCCATGTCTTTACTGAAGAAATTAGTTGTTTCAACAATAGATAGTAAACACTTTCTTCCTAATATGCTTCAATTGAATGCTATTGGCAGCTGTGGGGGGGACAAAGCTTGGCATCTCCTGTCAAAAAGCAGACAGCCTGCAGGGAATGCAGAACTCCTCACCTCCACCATGAGATATGCAAGGTCATCTTTTGAATGTGTGGATGGAGTCAGGTTCAAGTATGTGAAGGGAAAGAAGGAGGTGGAGGACTGGAAGAAAAAGGAAGAATTCCCCAAGAACAAATCATAAAACAGAGAGCCCATCAGATTCTATATGATTTATCTCTGCCCTGGTAATTTCACTGTGGCAGAGGACAAAACTGACTAATCATGTTTTCCTAGTTGCTACTACTACATTAATTAATTCAATGCTTTCAGCAGATGTCTGCATGAAAATACGGCAACTCGACTTGAAAAAACAGATCTTAAAAACAGAGGTCTTAGGAGGTGAGATAATACTCAAGTAAAACAGTAGTTCTCTGAATAACAGGGCCAGTGGCAGTGATATGGAAAATAAGCAAATTAGACCCTGAGGACAGAAAGAAGATAGAGAGAAAGAATTACAGTGTGTCTCCTGAAGTCGAGGGAGGAAAAGTGCTGAGATTGTGTGTGAAGCTACATGTGTGTTTCTGCAACTTCTTAAAAAGCCTTGCATATCTCTCCAGTGAAAAATGTGTTTGCAATTTTCCTCACCTGCCATTGGAAAGAAAGAATTTATTAATTTACTATCAGATAAGAGACCCATGCACATTTGGATCAAGTTATTCTTGTGGAATACCTGTCTACAGATATCCAAACAAGTGGCTTTTAAAGCAAAGAGCACTGGTCACATAGAAGATGCCTGCATTAATGGTGCTGCACACTGAAAATGCAGCACTGTTGGTTGTATTGCAAACATCCCCCGTCTTCACCTGCCTCCTTGTAGTGAGGAAGATACTCTCCTGTCTCCCATCCATTCATCCTGAGCCTGTGCTGCTGCCAGCATGTGTGACAACTATTGCCAATTGTGACAGTTGTTTTTGTGAAGGGGGACATCTGTCTACAATAAAATCAGGCTAAGGTCTGCAAACTCATTCACAGAGGCCATGAAATAGTCATCAGATGGTAAAAATTACCTTCTTGGTTAAAACACAAACTGCTGTCCCAAAAGTGAGAGAGACTGTATCTGACTAACACTCACCTGAGCCAGGCTGAAGTTTGTAACATATGTGTTCAGGGGAACCCTTGTAATTGCTGACAGATGGATCGCCATCTAAAGAGCCTTCCACCTCTACATGCCTCTCTTATGTTTTGAAGTGTTAACATAAAAATACCTTCCCCACCATACACCAAAAAGCAGGAACATGAAATTTTTGAAAAATATATCAGTATGTACTATGGATGTCTTAATCAATGACCTGTTTGTAAATGCCATCCAATGGCCCACCAGTTTTGTGGCTTTTCATAGATGGGGTTGTCTCAGAGGAATTTCACCATGACCCCAACTCTCTCCTTGGCATCCCCTTTCTCCTCTGATTGTTTCTCTAAATCTTTTGCTATAAGCTTAAAAGCAAAAATGTTCTCTGTACAGTTGGTTCCAATTAAGAAAATTAAAGCTATTGATTTTTAAACAAAAATAAAAATCACACAGACAATATTTAAGCATTTAAAGCACAAGAACAGTGAATGGACAGGTAGTCATATTAACTCTTGACAATCTACATGATGCAACACATTTGCAGAGTAAATGTATTAGCAGTTCAGTGTTTCTTTAATTTTTGCATAGAAGCACCATTTTTTTTTGTCAGATCACATTTTGTAACACAATATCAATCTTGCCATATCCATGTTCTAGATGGGCTGTAGGGATTCTGCTGTAATTATGTTAAAAATTGAAATATTTCAAAATCTGATTGACAGCTTGATTACAATAATGCATGTGATTAAATTCAGGGTGTGCTGGCGTAACGAAGGAGGGAATGTCAGTGGTAATTAACTGTATTTTTGTTAAATTTTGTTGAGCATTTCTTGCTCTTAGGTTGGAGTACATTGAAACAAACCAATGAGACACCTAGTGGTAGCTTCTTTTTAGAGCTTCTTAGTGCCATTTAAGACTTGCAGAAAACCAGTTCTTATGCAAATCATATATTTTGTTACATGTCATGTAAATTTTATGTAGATTAGCATGGTCATGAACACCAAAACTATGCAGTACAGCAGCATGACAGGAAGGATACCATGCTATGCTCAAGTACAGAACAGCAGTTCTGTAAGTATTTTTTCTTCTCCAGACAGCTATTTCTACATAATAAAGCTTGCCAGAAGACAGAAAACTATAGATTATAATGAAATGCACTGGTTTATTTGTAATTTTCATTGCATCATGTCTCCTCCCAAGGAAACAATCAATGATTTCTGCCCCTTCTACTTCCTCAAAGAGAGTTTGTATGAGACAATTAATCCACCAAATACCTATTCATATTAAGATGGATTAAATTTTTTGATATTAAAAATGGATGTGAAGTGTGCTTATTTTCACTAACTTTTTGGTTATTCTTCTCTGAACAACAAGCTCCTTGGACAAAAACTGCTGTGTTGAACCTTAAAAAAGATCTTAAATAATTAGAATATTGTTTAGAAATAAAAATGTTACCTAAATGATAAATTTTTAGTGCTCTCTCTCGTGAAACGGATAAATGCAGACATGAGAAACTATGATATCCTGGATTCAAATAATTCAAGGTGTTTTGCCACACAGTATAATAGACTCAAATCTGTGTTCCTACACTGGTCTGCTGGTATCTTCTAACCCTGATATTTTGCCTGCCCATCTCTTCCACAAGTTTTATTGTCCTTTCTAATGTCTCCCTTATGACTGCAACATCTATTCCAGACCAATACTCTTCCCTTGACCCAGATTTTATTCCCTTTTAAAAGACTGTAACCGCTGACTTGTCAGAAACCCGGTTACCCATATTTGTTCTATTTTTGGGAGTAAGGGGATAGGGTAGAGCAATTAACAAAGCTTTGGAGTTTATTTGGTACCTACTGACTGTAATATCTTTCAACAAATGTTATGCTTTCCTCTGTATCTGGGTAACATTTAGTAAACTTTGCTTCCTAGCAAGATATAGATGGTAAAAATAGATAAATTAGATGCAATGTAATATAATAAAGTGAAAGATAAATATATAAAGCTGACATTCTGTGGTGGGTTGACCTTGGCTGGATGCCAGGTGCCCACCAAGCTGCTCTATAACTCCCCTTTCCAGCTGGACAGGGGAGAGAAAATAAGCTGGAAAACAACTCATAGGTTGGGATAAGGCAGTTTACTAAAGCAAAAGCGAAGGTTTGTACATGAACAAGTGAAGGAGAAAAAAATAGTTTTATTCTCTGTTTCTCAGCAGCAAGCAATGTTCATCCACTTCCCAGAAGCAGGGCTTTGCCCACTTCAGAAGGCAAACATCACTGCAAATAACAAATACCCCCACTTCCTACTCCTTTTCTTAGCTTTTATATCTGAGTTGAATCATATGGTATGAAATATCCCTTTGGTTAATTTGGGTCAGCTGGCCTAGTTGTGTCCCCTCCCAGGATCCTGCCCACCCCCAGCCCCTTGATGGGGAGGAATGTTGAGACAGCACTATGAGGGCTGCTATAGGGAAATGAACTCCATCTCAGCCCGATCCAATGCACGTTCTCATTGATTTTCTGTGAAAGGAAAGGAAGAGATTGCTAGAGAAAGTAACAAGTACATGGTGATTCTTTATTTTTCCAATCACACAAATACATTTTCAAAAAGTGGGCAGAAAGATGTTATTTTTTCTGTTTTCAAGCAAAAGAGTTAATATTGCATTGTTCAGAAATCCACTGTAGAAAACCTGTGACAGCTTGGTGACCTTGGAAGTGATAGTGATGTCTTTAAGCAGCAGGAAATATGGGACTGTAGATAGGGAGTACAAGGCACAGAGCTCTGCCTGTTTGCATCAAAAGAGGGTTTTAAAAAATATAACCTCATTCTTTCTTGCATTTTGCTACAGCCAAATCACCTAAAGAGATCACTATTTGATCAGTAAGTGTACAGCTACGTATAAGCTCACCTTATTCAAGAGATCTATATCCTCTGAGCTACAAAGGATAACAAATAATAAGTTTATAGAATTCTGGTTTCTTATTTAAATAGTGTGTAGTGATAATACTAATATTTAACAGAGTAGAGTTTGGAGGTATGCTAATGACCACAAGAAAATTTCAAACCTCCATAATGTGCTTTAATCACCAGCTGGAGATCAAAAGCCACCATGTGATTTTATACAGCATGGGCAACTTCCAGAACTGCCTTACATGGAAAGAGATCAATGGTAAAATGGGTAGATACAGCAAAGCTTTGCAGTAAAAGCATTTTATGTATCTTGTTCAAAGTATTTAAGTGCCTTTTAGATCACTGATTGAACCATAGACATTATAAAGTGGAACCTTTTAATACCAAAATAAATTTGCAGAGTAAAATTCCATTATAGGGAAAAGCATTGCACTGCAACAGGACAGATAATAATTCTTTCACATGTAATGGGATATATGAAATGTTTGATGATAAACAGAAGTTCTTTGCATCGTTCGAGTCAGATTCCGTGTGCTGTTGTTTGTGCGCATGTGAGTGTATCTACAGCGTAGGAGAGACAGGGCCCCCCAGATAAAATGCATGCCTACCTATAAATATAGCTCTAACTAAGATGGGTGAAGACACTTCACAGTCAAGACAATTCAGTCATTTAAGCAGAAAAAAACTGTCCATGCATATGAGTTTGGACCCTGACCAAAGAAAACATACAAATGCTTTAGAAACTCATGAA